AAAATGTTCAACATGTACTCACCATCAAATTGGTATTAATTGGCCAACACTTAAATGTTGTAACATATATAGTAGTAACATTCATCGGATGTCGGGTAGATGGGAGCGGGGAGGAGAAGATGGGTATATTCACACCTAATGGGTGCGGCATGCATAGTCTAGGGGATGGACACACTTGAAGCTCTGACTCTGGTGGGGCAAAGGCAATATATGTAACCTAAATATTTGTAATCTCATAATATGCTGAAATTTGAAAAAGCAAAAACAGAAACACCAGCTATAGTCACTGTTAATTGGAACTAACAGATGAGCAAACATGTGCATAGAGGGAAGTATAACTCAATGGAAATCAATCACGGGAAGAGGTGAGGAGGGGATGGGTGAAAACCTATCTAATGGGTACAATGAACATCATCTGCTTGCTGGGTACACTTAAAATCCTAACTCAAACATTATAAAAGTGATCCTTATAACCAAAAACATTTGTACCCCCGTTATACTTTGGAAGAAAAAAAATAGTACACAGTTGGCATATCACAAAGCCATCACAGTGACAAATAGTAGGAAAAGAATATGCAGCACGAGAAAGGACAAAATTGAGAAAAATCAAGAAGAAATGGGGCAAATCACACTGAGCTCAATTCACCCCTCACAGTAGATAGTTGTATTGATGACCATGGCACAAAACTCCACAGCCTTAACCGACACCTGTCCCTAGATCCTAGAGAACCGTGCTCAGCTAAGCAAAGAACATAGCTGTTTGTTCTTTAGTAGATACCTACCTTTTGAGGTAATATTTAAAACAGTTCTCCTAAGCATCATAATTCTGTATATTTCATTTTCTTACATCGTTATTTCCAAATATTTTTCACATTTTGAAGCATAAACAATATATTGTTCTTTTTTTGGTTAGCTCAGTTAACACATCAAGCAAAACCAGTCACATCTGCATAGGGAGCCAGGCATTCTCCAGTTTAATGGTAAATTTTGACAATATTCTGTATCAAACATCCATAGGTTAGAACAAGCAAAGGGTTTTGTGTGTTTTTCTTTCTTTGTCTCTGTTTTATTTCCAGATGACATAATAAGATATCATAGCCTGGGGGGTGTAAACAATAAGCATTTATTTCTCACAGTTCTGGAGGCTGGGAAGTCTTAAGATCAAAGTTCTGGCAGAATCCGTTTCAGATGAGAACTCATTTCTTGTTTTGCAGAGGGCTGCTTTCTTACTTGCTGTGTCTTCACATGGTGGAAAAAAAGAGAGCTCCCATCTTTTCTTCTTCTTAGAAGGGCACTAATCCCATCACCGGGGCTCCACTCATGATCTCATCTACACCCAATCACCTCCCAAAGGCTCACCTCCAAATAACATCACCTTGGGGATTAGGGCTTTGACATATGAATTTGGGGAGACACATTCAGTCTATAGAAGTCTCATTTTTGAATCTCTGTATTTCCCTAACTTTGACATCATTTTAAGAGTTTCAGAAGCATCTGTTATCTGTTATCTATTGTGGTAACAAACCACTGAAAAACGTAATGGCTTACAGCAGTCATTTTATTTGCTTATATTTCTGAGGGTGAACAGTTTGCTTAGGTGGCTCTCATGCTGTTCTTACTAAGGATCACTCATGTGGCTACAGCCAGGTTGTTTAAGATGGCCTGAGTCACATGTCTGATTATTAGGTTTGGAAATTGGCTGTTTGGGGAGACAGAGGATCTCAGCCAGGATGGGTCATTCCTGTTCCATGTGACTTAGGCTTGACTATTCTTCCTCACATGGTGATGCAAGAGAATAAGAGAAAAAGCTGCAAGGCCTGTGGAGTTCTAGGCTTGGAACTCCCACAGTGTCACTTCTGCTACTAGTGAATACTAGTATAAACTATTGTAATACTACTCTAAGAAGGTCACAAGGCCAATCTAGATGCAAGGAGTAAGAAAAATAAATCCTATGTGGTTGGGAGGAATGGCAAAGTCACACTGAAAAGACATAGACATATAGAGATGGGAAAATTTTTATGGCCATTTTTTTAATCTATCACAACTTCCATGCCAGGTAATCACTGGAAAATCACTTAAAAGAAAGGGTTAGTTTGGAGGTAATTTCCTCCAACTTGATTTGTCATCTGCTCATTTGCCTTTTTAGTAAATTAACGATCAGTTTCATTTTGCAATGTGAATGTCAAAAATAGCGTATTACATTGTTTTAATAAAATGCCCCAATAAGATAAGTGTCTAACTGCTAGAGTATATCAACTTCATCTTAGACATTGAAATTCATTCCCGAGCTTGATGGTCCTGTCTGTTCCTCTGGCTCCTACCACTATGCAGTTTGGTCATTTAGTAAATCCCATTTACTTTAGTAGTTATCTTCAAATACCTGCATAAGCCTTTCAGAGGAAAGGAAATTCCTCTGGTAACTCATTTGTCTTCCTGGACTTTAAGAGAAGATGAAACTTTAATGAGGTTTAGATGTTAACATGACTGCCTTGTTCTTCCTTTTGCCCACATGAGTTTTTCAGCAAGTAATAAATAATTACAAAGCACCTTACAAGATAGGTGTACATGTCATAGCAATTATTTATCTTTTGGCTTATCTCAAGAGATATAGTTGTTCAAAGTTTAGCAAATTCTTAAACCATGTCTTGGTTAGGGAAACCCTGTCAAGTGATGAGTAATATTAATTGGTATAGGTTCAAAGAAACATTTGGCCATTCAGCCAGCATTTTGTTTTAATTTAACATACATTTACATAATGCTTACCAAGTGCCGATGGTAAGAGCTCCATCAATAATTCACTTAATCCTCACAATACTCCTGTGAGGTAGGTAGTGTTATTATAACCATTTTACAGATGGAGGTACTGAGGCACAGAAAAGTAACTTACTCAAGGTCAATCGGTTAATAAGTAGCGAAGCTGAAATTAGATTACCAGGCAACCTGACCACTTAACCATTACCTTCTGTTGCTTCCACTTGTTCAAAACCATGCACGAAGCACTATGGATAACGCTTGGAGACGCATAAAGGACGGATGAGAAATTTTGCTTCCATTGAAGAGACAAAGATATTTTACACATGTGAAACTAGAAGACAGTTTTAAGTCAACATGCAGGAAATTGCAGGAAACTATGGCTTTGCCAATACTCCGTGAGAAAGAACAGAAGGAAAATAAACGATGAACTTGCTTTGGTGAATCCCCGTGGCTAACTTCTTAATATTAAAACCCAGTTCTTTGTTTAAAGATTAGTACTTGCTATAGTAAAAAGAGCACAACACCTGGTAGTCAAAAAACCCTGATTTTAAACCTTTTTATCCCCTACCTGGCTGTGTCACCGTTGACAAAGTCACTTCCTCAACTCTGAAAGATGACCTTTAGATTAGAATTAGCTACCCTGAAAGTAGCAAACCATTACGGTGTCTAGGACACAGCCAGTCTCTGGGGCCACGTGAGATGCAAAACACACAATTCTGAATCTCAAGGTGCCATCTTACCCCTACCTTGTTTCTTATTAAATCTCCTTCTTCTCCCTTAGCTTTATAAAAAGTCTGTAACAGATCTGCTTCACATTCTTAAATCTATAATAAAAATATTTCTTAACATTTTTTTCATGTTAATTCTTCCATTCAAGTTAGACCTCCCTAGGTCTCCTATAAAATTTGACATGATTTGGCATGGGTTTAACAGCCTTTTAAGTCACTCTGGTTAACACTCAAATAATCACTGAGCTTAGACAAATGAAATCCCTGATGTATGTGTAAGGCTTTGAGATTAGTTATTTAAACCTTTCATAATCTAATCCATGCCAAGGGATTAACCCAGACTAGCTGTTAAAGGTTGTCTTGCACCAATTATGCCTGTTTGTATTTTATTGGTCTGTGTTGATAAGAGAAAATGTCATGTAATTTTAAAAGAATTATGAATAATACTTTAGGATTTGACATGCTACGTTTAAAGTGGGACTCACTGAATAAACTTGATTAACACACAGAGCACAAAAAGAGAGAGCTCTCAATAACATTTTATGTTTTTTTTTAATCTTTGGGTTTGCTGCGTTTTAAAATTTTAGTCTTTTTAAGTCATTCTCACTTCTAGCGGGCTGGCTGCAACAAAACTTCCATCTACAACAGTCTTTTTGAGATCCTGGAACTATTTTATGGACCTAGAGTACAGCACAAGAAAAACTAGTCCACTTTTTGATGGCCACTGCAGTTATGAAAAAAAAAATTTGTCTTTTTCCTGGGTGGAATAATGGCTTTTATCTGCTTGCAGAATGTCTCCTGTAGCATGTCATTTTTAGAACTACAAAATCCCTGCCTAGGAGTAGCAGCTGAGGTGTGTGGGGGTTGCCTGCCCAAGAGAGTTTCCCTGGGCACCGTGACCACTTGACTCTACAGACCCTGCTGGATAGCAGGCATCTTTCACCCACTGGTTATGGGACCAGCCACTCAGTTTCAGTCCCATGGCTCCCTAATCTCTTCTCACTCAGGCTAACTGGGCCAACGTCTAGCTTTTAGTCGGCCAGACTTCATCCAGATATGATTGGAGGAGGACAGACTGATAGATTTTTATGTTCACAAAACACAAAATATGTTTAATGTTTTCTGACACTGGAAAATTTCCTTTTTAATTTTTAAATTTTGAATAATCCTTTCTCATTTATAGTATACCTTTTTATAATAACTCTATTAGCTTTTTCTACCAAATAAGAATTATAAAACAATTATTAGATTCTCTAATAATACCTTTAAATGTTTGAGCTTCAAAGGAAACAAAACTGTCCTTTTCATTTGATCCCTAGTGTCCAATTTGTAGTATACGTTCTTTTTTTGTAGTTTTTACATCTTTCATTCTCTGCAAAGAAGCTATTAGGTAATGGTCAGTTTTGTCCCAATTAGAAGAAAAGAAAACATTTCTAGTTTGTGATTCTGCAGATTGGTAGCATTAAGTAATGTTGTTCACTTTACTGAGAAATAGGGTGTAAATAAGGCGGTGGAAATTTTGTATGTCGTTAAGCCAGCTATTTGCCCTATATGTGACCCCTTGCAAGCAGGCTGTTTTGCAATCTGGAGCCTCGCTGAGTGAGCTGTACCACAATTGATCTGAGGTATATAAGACACAGCACACCATTTCCCTTCTTGATTTATTCCTGGTCTATTTTCCGTGTGTTTCCCATTTAGCTGATCAATTAATCTCTGATATTACTCATGGGCAGCAGTTAAAAATAATGCAGCTGATGATATTTCCTTGGCAACAGCAGCGACGGAGTTCCACGTGTCTATGAAAGCAAGGTGGCATTCGTTCTCATTTGCAGCCAGGAAGCCTTCTCAATGAGGATCAAGTGTGAGGAGTAGATTACTTTACTGAAAGCCCCTGAAGACAAGGACTGTGGCTGTCTTCATTCACTGCTATAGCACCATCACCTTGGCACAAAGGAGCTGTTCAAAAAATGTTGGTGGACTAGATGAAGAACATGCAATTGTGTTGATTTTAGTAGCAAAGTAGCATAAACTGATTACTAAGCCCCCAATCCTGAAGTTCTGGAATTTTATTTATTCCATTAAAGACCAGGTTGTGAAATGTAAAGGTCTATGGACCAGAAGTCAAAAGGACTGGGATGCGTGGTGGTAGAGAAGACAGAAGGAGAGCTTTGGTGTCAGCAGATATGTGTTCAAATTTCTGCATTCTGTGTTATTGGCTGTATGACTTGATGTTCCTCGAATTTTCTATACTTCTGTTTCTGCATCGGGAAAAATCAAGAAGATAAAAATGCTCACTTCATGGGGCTCTTGAAAGGATTAAATTATATAATGTATGCAACATAAAAGCACAAGGGCATGAAACAGCATGCTGTGTTTGGAAAACTACAAGTAGTTCAATTTAGCTGGGGCACAGGGTGCCCATGGGAGAGATGTGAGAGATGAAACCAGAGAGAGGAGAACAGTCAGGTCATCAAGAGCCTTGGGTGCCAAGCTAATGGGTTTGAACTTCATCCTGAAACCTTTGGGGTGTCATTAAAGTATTTTAAGCAGGGTAGAGGAATTGCATGATCACATTTGCATTTTATGACATTGACTCTGGGAGAACAACACTGGATTGGAAAAGGCTGGCTCTTAACCTTCCCAACTTCTTCTCTAAGTGACTCCTCCCACCTACTCAGAACTTTGTACATGGAAGGGGCATGGTTTCCTAGCTTCTGGGCTTTTGCATTGTGCTATTTCCTCTTCCTAGAACACGTTTTTCCTCCTCAGTGTATCAGTAAGAACTTTCTTAGTTACAAATGGTGGGAAACTCAACCTGGTTCTGGCAATGCATTTGCTCAGAAGCAGCTCCCTGCAGAGCTGCATTCGCAAACCCAGACAGTGTCACCAGAATCAGGGCTCCTTCTCTGTCCATCTCTCCACTCTGCTCTGTGGCAGGCCCTCAGTACATGATGGCGAAATAGTGGCTGACATTTCCATACCTACATCTTGGGCTCTCAGCCATGTCAGTAGAAAGCAGGCACCTCCTGGCAAACAAAAGTCCTGATATTTGCTCTGGTAGAGTCATGGACTCACCTCTGAAACAGTCGTGGAAACCATGGGAACAGAATGCTACAAATGGCCAGGCCTGTGTTACATTCTCCTGGAAGGATGCAGAGGCAGGTAGTGGAAATGCCATGTTAGAGCCAGCTCCAACCAAACCACAAGAACAGTGAGCTGTGGGGTAAGGGAGGAGGTTCCTAGAAAGTTAGGGCATTCCGTCCAGAAGATGGGTGATGGATATTGGCCTAGGAAACATCAACTGTGGTTATACCTGGCTAACACCTGCAGTTAGCCTTCAGAGGTAGTGTGATTGCCACTTCTCCAGGAGACCTTCTGTGACTCTCCAAGACGAGGTTAGGCAACCCTCCTGTGCATGGCCATTAGCATCCTATCCTCATTGTCATAGTAGTATTGCAATAGCTGTTTACTTATATGTATTCACTGGACACACCATGCGGGCCAGGAACTATGAATTATTCACCTGCATATTTCTAGCACCTAGTAGGTAACTTGATAAATATTTGTTATGGGGGTGCTGTATTGAGCTATCCTGGAATCTGAGAAACAAGCTGATAATAAAGTAAAAAAGTGATGGGTAGTTGCAATGGGACACATGTTTGAGAAATGTTAAGAGGGGAGAATCTATAGCATTGGGGGCCTGATTTAGATGGTGGTGTTGGGTGAGAAGGATATATATATCTCCTCCCTCGAGAAGGAAGATTCTACACTGGTTTCTGGCTCATCCACAGCAGAAGAGATTGGTGAGACAGGGTTCATTTTGGTACAGGAGGTTCTGTGGGGTTTAATTTGGGCATTCATCACCTAGGAACAGCAGATAAAGCCTTGTGAGAGGATGAGAAAAGCTAAGGAAGTATTTAAGGATGAGATGATCCTCTCTGGGAATCTGTACACTTCAGTAACTGTCTTTCCAGCTAATGATGGACTTTGATCTTGAATTCCGCACTAGTGGGTTGGGAGTTGATGATATTTAACTATAGTGCCATATATCAAGGCCTGAATCCCACAAGGAATATCAGGATCCCAATCAAGTGAGATTATCAGTTTAATACAGTGTTAAATAAGGAGAATAGAGGGGTGCATCCTGTGCTAATGGGGGGGAGAAGGAGACCCACCCCCCAGTGGACAGCCTGGTTCTTCCTTGCAAAAGGAGGGTCAGCTGTCAGCTCTCAATGGAGCTTAGTGCTATGGAAAGTCAATATACAGCACCTGAAGGCAAGTTCTTTTAAGAACTTTCTTAATTTTGGGCCCTCCCTTTTCCCTTTGCCCCCCACTTTTTTTGAGAAAGAATCCATCAAAAAAAGGACATCCTTTTCTGTGTGCCTAACTTTTTGCATGGTGCTATAACCCACTGACAGTACTCAATACATAATAAAGGAAGAAGAATAGTTGTGAATATTTCTAGATGTGTGAGAGCAAAAAGGTCAGTAGGCACCTCCTCTGAGGTGTGAGTTGTTATTCCTACCTAGGAAAAACAGAGCCGCAGAGAAGGCAGGTAATCTGCCCCACATCACATAGTGGATTGAAATGGTGAAACTGAGTTATGAACTGTCCGACTTCAGAGCTGGCATAGATATATCACACAAAAGTTTCCTCCCGTGAGTTAGCATAAGGAACTTAATTAAAAAGTAAAAATTCCTTGTGGCAAGGGTGGCTGTGATGGGACCTGGTGGGCCACTCAGCTTGGACACATCTCGGTATGCAATGCAGATGATAGCCAAGGAGCAATGAACTTGCTGCTTGGATATGAAATGGGCTCCAGCAATGTGCATTTCAACCAGGAATGGGATCCAGGCCACAAGGGCAGCTTTTCTGCCCATTTGTAACTAAGGTAGACACAAGCAAGACTTGGCCTTTCTTCATAAATTTGTAGCTGCTTCCTGCTCATGACCAAGCTGCATGGGAAATAAATTATACTCTGCATTTTCCAATGACTTTGAGAGAAATTTCTATATTTCACATAACCCTAAATTTTCCTAGAGTTGATGCATGGTACTGTAGAAAGTATACCATGTGTCTGTTAGAGATCATATTTTCTTTCTTCCCTCCCTTTCTTTTTTTTCCTTTTTTCCCATTTATTGTCCTTTTTCCCCTTCTCTTTCCTTATTTCTACCCTTGCTGTCTTTAAGGTTGAGTATACCTCTTTTCAAAAGCTATACCATCACTCCTCTGTTGATTTTGCATCAAATGTTGTGTACATAATCCTATGATTGGTGTTTACATTAATTTCCTGGCTTGCTAGCATTTAGCCAGTTTGTGCATTCAGTGAATGACTCCCTGTCTGCAGCAGTTCCCACCCACCCTTCTCTCCAGGTGCCCAGATTCTGGCAGGCTCTGTGTAGAGCACATGTTCAAAGCAGGATAGACAGACACATTCCCTGCCAGGGGCTCTGTGCCTCCACGTCCTTTGATTGTGTGTTGTGACATAAGCTTGGGATTCTCAAGGGCATGGTCATTGATGAATTTTTAGCTGAAGTAAACACCACCCTGAAGTACTGTACCTGTAGGTACACTTTTCTTTGGCTTCTGCACCACCACCCCTAAGAAGGCCATATCAGTATCCACCCATGCATACAAATTGTCTTCCTCTCTTGTCACTGCACCTCTGCTTTGCTATATGAATTCTCATGTTAGCTCAGTTGATAACAAAAGAAGCTGGGCAGTTTCTGTTTCCCTCTTTGACGATGGGTTGTGGGCCCATAAAAATGAAACAGTAAATTAATTACTTGTTAAATTAATCCAGACCACTTGTGACTTAGCATGGTGCCAACTCTGGATGAATGGGGAATATTCCTGTCTTGTTTCATACTAGATATGGGAAAACATGAAATTTTGAAAACGCCATTGAGTTTTCATCCTGACGTTTGGCATTGTGTAGACCTTTCACTATAGGAGACCTTTAGGCACCAGATTGTGATTAACCGTGGAATATTCAGGAAGCAGTTTCTTTTCGGGGGTATTTCTAAACTTGGAATCCTCAGAAAGCATCATTATTTACATTATACTGTCCGTTGAAGCAACTTATGTTTTATTGTCCTTTTTGTTCTTGTTTTAGAAATCTGGAAAAGTGCAAAGCTTTGGAGAAGGACTTAAAATTAAGTCAGCGTTGTTGTTTTATAATACCATTGTCATTATCATTATGGATGTTATAATGTCATCACCATTATCATTATTAGTGTTACATTTTAATTGGAGGGGAAATGATCCAATAAATTTGTTCTACTATTAATATTTAACTACTGGCTATGAAAAAAATCAGTATTATAAAATATATGCTGCATATACCATGACAGACTTAAAACCTATTTTTTTTTTAAATTTCTTCTCTGACAAGAGAGAAACCAGGGAAATTTCCAAGAAACAGGTCATTCTGAAATACCTAAGGGCAGATCTTTTATGGGAGTGCTTAAATATCTGATATCTTCTGTAGAAGGAAATAAAATGAAATTGCTTTGAGTACTACCTTTCAGAAATAAACCAGCCTTTCCTTGTGGCTGAAACATCAGGAAGAAAATGGTACCAGTTCCTTCTGAGCTCATTGCAATGTTGGTGCGTAGTATATTAAAGTAATCTGATTTATAGTGATGAGTTATTAAGGAGAAATTGAAAGTTTCCCAACCCAGGGGTTTTTACATCCAAAATTTAAGGAGCCCATTATAGTCCATTAGTTTAAAAGGTAAACTTATTAAATCCTTCATGATAAAATAGCTATCTCTGATTTTATGGTAAAATTAAAAAGGCATGGATAGCGTTTTAAGACTTGGTATAATACACTTCTTGGCTCCCCTTGTAGCCAATGATAGCTAGTGTTTAATGTGATGATTTAAGGATGATTTAAATTGGTCCTCCTACAGAGGGGGAGGAAAATCCCCAGAGAAACTAAATTTATGAAATGATATAAGTGGGATTTAGAGTTAAGTGACAGAGTGATTGGAAGCAAGTCTTGCAGTTTGGAGCCCAAAGACATGTTAAAAGGAATCAGAGTTACGGGCCTGTGTTTCTCATGGCCTCAATAAAGAGCTCATGGGGGCTGGATATTTAACACATTGACTGCCATGTGAGTTGTATTTAACTCAGGCTAGTTTTGATCCCGGGGCCTCGTGAAGCAAAACCCTGCAGTTGGTTTGTGCAAATCTTAGTTGTTGATGTCCTTATTGTTACAATTAATATTGACAATTTACTTCTAAAACCATGGATTGCATTGCATATAACTCATGTACATAAACAATGAAAAATAACAAATGATGAAGGATCATTTTGTTTTAATAAAATGCTGTGGCCCCAGGGAAAATATTTTTTTTCTAGTGTGGCAGTCAGTGTGTTAAGCCCCATAGTGGACAGTGATGCTCTTGTAGGGTTGTTTTCCATTCTCTGTAGCCAATAAAGTTAAAGAATATGAATTAGTATTCTGCCCTGTATTTTTTTTTAAGAGATAGGGTCTTGCTCTGTCACCCAGGGTGGAGTGCTGTGGCAAGATCATAGCTCACTGCAGCCTCCAGCTCCTGTGTTCAACAGTCCTCCTGCCTCAGCATCCTGAGCAGCTGGGACTAAAGGTGTGCGCCACCACACCCAGCTAATTTTTAAATTTTTTGTAGAGATGGGGTCTCACTATGTTGCTCAGGCTGGTCTTGAACTCCTGGGCTTTAAGCAGTCCTCCTACTGCAGCCTCCCAAAGTGCTGGAATTACAGGTGTGAGCCACCATGCCTGGCCTCTGCGCTGTATTTACCTAATTTATACTTCGTCTTCAGATTGGTCAGCAACTACAAATAAACATGAAATTAGGAACAGTAAAGCAGAAAACATGTGTTTACTAAAACGTCATCAAGGTTTTTTTGTTGTTGTTGTTGTTTGTTTGTTTGTTTTAAGAAATAAGCAAACTAACCCAACAGGTTCAAGGACAAGGCAAAAAATACTTACCTATCCTGGCAGGTAAAGGGCCCTAGGGACTGGGTCTGTGAACTATCATTTCAGTGCCCTTTTCTGCAAAACATCAAAAGATACAACGTAAATTATAATAAGCAACAAAGAATATGAGTCTGAGTTATCAAAGGATATATTATGGAAGTTTTTTAAATGCCATTTTCATTTCTAAAATCTTAATGAAGCACTGAAGACCATGGTAAGTCCTTTATCTGCCAAACTCAAGAATGACTTACTAGTCTCATCAAGGCCACGACAGATGGAGAATAGTTTACACATTTTCAGTTGCCTTGGACAAGTCACTGAACATGTTTCTACTTAGCTTTCTCATTTATAAGCCAGGAATGATAAGAGTTCCTTTGTCATAGGATTGTTGTAAGGATTAAATAAAAGCACCTGTACAATGCCTGGCATATAGGGACATGGAAATCGTTCCATAAATGTTAGTTGTCATTATCACAGCATCTACGCTACTCTTGCAGTTCCCTAAATTTTGCGTTAGAGAATCAAGACCTAAAATGGAATATTTAAATTTGATTTACCTAGGAAGTAGGCCGCATGCTAACCTATACCCAGGCTACAAACTGCTATCATTCCAACCCGTCTTAAAAAGATAAAAAGATGAAATAAGATACAGATCATGCTGCCACTGACAAAAAGTATAATTTGTGCCTGTTGAAAAACAGGAGTGGTCTAAAAATTGAATCTCAAAATTAAAGCAGCTAGTTCACACACAGAAAGTATATTTTTGGTTGTACATCAACTTATTTTCTTTTACGTTTTCACCTAAACTTTAATTTTACAAGTAACAAATGCCCATTAATGGAAAGATAGAAAACTATAAAATTTAAATATCGTTTTTTACAGTTGCCCAGAAATAATCATTCTTACTGGCAGCTAGACTTCTAGTCATTCTTTTCTATGCTTATTTCTACTTTAAGGGGATCCTACAGTACATGCTATTTTGTAACATGATTTTTATAATGTCACAGTGGAGCCTTCTTTCCATGTTATGATGTGTGTTTCACACTGTCACTAAATAGTTGTGTGGTGATCCGTGTGCAACAGGGTGGTAGGTCTGCCAGCCCCACGCAAAGTGCAGTTCTGTAAGTCTCCGTAACTCATCCAGATAATGCCCTCTGTCATTCTCAAAAGGGACCATGTTCAGTCATAAATTCTACGGTCACCCTCTGCCTAGGGAAGCTCTTAACCTCAGGCACAGTTCAGCAGGCCCCCTTCTTACCCCACTTTGCCTTCTGCAGCAGTAGTTCCCATCTTTGGCAGGTGATAAACAAAAAACAAAACCAAAACAGGACAGGCTCTGCAAACATGAATATTTCTGTCTTTACTTTGGCAATCAATTTCTGTGAGCCTTGCCTCTGCTTAGTGAGGTCTGGGGGTGCCCTTGGCATAACAGTGAAAACCAGTGCAGTGGGGCTGTGAAATACACAGAAAGTACACACCTTCACTCTTTGAGTCATCCCCATGTCACATTGTACAAATGTGTGATAATCCACTTAACTAATCCCCTATTGTTAGGCATTCCATTGGTTTCTTTTTTTATTTTATTTTATATTTTATTTTATTTTATTTCAGCATATTATGGGGGTACAGATTTTTAAGGTTTCAATAAATGCCCTTTCCCCCCTCCCCCCACAAGTCTGAGTCTCCAGCATGACCATCCCCCAAACAGTGGTTTCTTAATTTACTGTATTGCAGATATAACCCTGAAAACTCCCTAACCGATCTGCTTGTGGGTTCAGATGAGGTCACATTAACAACACAAATGTAGCTGGCTGTTTTCCCTCTCCCCTCCCCACAGCTGATGCAGAAGAAACTTCCCCACAAGAAACTGTTCCCTGGTATCTCAGGAATTCCTAGGAGGTTCATATATGTGGTCATGAAAACACCTTCTCCCATTCTGTGATTGACATCCCCACCTGGATTGAAAGCAGCTTAAGGAAGGCCCCTCTCTGCTACCACTGCTCCCATGGTAGCACGGGGACCCTGATGCCCTACCCAGTATGCTGTAGTCCCCAGATTGCAGAACTTCTCAGAGTTCTGCTGTGCCTTGTTCCAAATATGTGTGCCCTATTACTATGCATCACACTGTTTTCCATAGAATAAAATGGTGGGAACACACCTTCCCCTGAAGCAGTGGCTCCCAAATCCTGTTGGAAGGTGTCCTCGGGCACCTCAGCCTCCTGCCCTTGCTCTACAGCAGTCACGCCAGGTCAGGCTGTGCAATGCATAGCACGGCCTCTCCTTTTCTCTTCTGAAACAATTCTGCACAGTAGTCCATTGCTCATTTTCCAGACTACTTTTCTGATGAACTCAGGCAAAGAGACACCGGACAGCCCTGGCCGCAAGTCTAGCAGACCCATCAATTGATGCATCACACGTACAGCATTAATCACGTATACAGTGTAGCTGCGAGCACTCTTCTACCTGTTCTTTTGTGCGCATCTCTAATCATCATTTAAATTATGTCTTTAGATGAATTCTTAGAAGCATAATTGCTGAAATGGAAGGTATGCAATATGCATTTTTTGGCCATAGCTTTACTTGATGCCTGGTTGAGTTCTGGCAACATCTTATATTGCCCCTGGGGACACTCAGGACAGGAACTAATGATTTTTCTGGGATATCATAATACAGCAGTGTTGCTCTAATGATGAAGCTACAGAACATGTATCCAGGGATATAGCACCTTTCTCCTGGGATAGATTTTTTTATCTGATGGCCTTGGGCAGCATTCACTTCTCAGCGATCCATCAGAATTGTAGAACTATCACTTTTTTATTGAAATAAAATTTATGAGTGGCGAAATGCACAGGTCTTAAAGCTCTGAGTGACTTCAGTGGTCATAGGCTCCTGGAGTCCCTTAGCCCAGCTGTGCAACAAGATCACATGTTCTCTACAAAAATACAGCTTTCCTGGCCCTACTCCAGCATTTAGATTCTAGAAGGTCTACATTGAAGTTATAGTTTGAAGGTAGTACTAGTCTGTGATACTATTTGTGAGTGTGGGCCAGAGAGAAGACAGAACTATGTCTGGAATTGAAAACTTCTACCTGAAAAACGAGATCAGTTATAATTCTCCAACCTTCCTTTCTCATCTTGTTTATACTTTACACTTCATTATTTTTTTCTAAAAATTTTTTTTAGCATAAAAGACTATGTAATGAGTTATATTAACATAAAATTGTTACTGTTTTTAAGCACGTGGGAAGGTTTTGTGTTAATTTTAAAAGAGACATTTCTATGCTTTTTTTTCTTTACAGAAGAATTAGGCTTTTGAAATTTATTAAAAAGTTTCTTTTCACAAATATGATTAAGGCGCCTTGATTTTAAGAAACATAATGGCCAGCTAGTATTCACACAGATGTGCTATTTGAAAGGAATTTGGCTGACTGCTGTTATTCAGTGCTACATTTTTATGTGTAGGAATTGATGTATGCCAAGAAAAAGGCAATTAAGGCTTTTATGCTTATTTTTCAAGGTGTATTAAACTGGTGCAAGTTTTAACTATATGTTTACTTTAAGAATCTTAAAAGGACCCCTTGGGAGATATTACCAACTGAGCCCGTTGGGCTAAATGAAGAAGCAGATTCATGTTCATAAATAAATCTGAATTCCATTATTTTTCAAATTTACTTATAGATTGAAGAAGAGGATAAGTATGCTAATAGAGGATAGAGAGAATGGAAAATTATGACGAGAATTTTCTCCGTGCAGTCAATGCCAGCCCTGTTCTTTTTGTGTATTTCCAAACATGGATATATTAAAAATTGAAGGCTTATTTATTCAAACATTCATTCAACAAATGTTTATTGTACAAGGCGCTGTCTAAGATATTTTGGTGGGAAGCAAAGCCAGAGAACCCAGTCAAAACCTCCATAAGCTTACACCCACCACTAGTGGGGAAAACACTAGTTTATAAGTAATAATGAAAACTAAGATGACAGCTAACATTTATTGAGAACTGAATAGGTAGCAGACGTATTTTAATAACTTTTCACTTCTTCCTTATTCTTCATAAAACCTTATTAGTAATTGTTCTTATTGTCTCCAGTTTACACTTAGGGACATTGAGGTACAGAGAAGTTAAACATCTTGCCCAAGATCACACAGCTAACAACTAGTGTAATGAATGACCCAGATTCCATCTGGCTCTAGAATTTCCTCTCTTAGCCACTACATGGCCTAAGTATAGTCAGATCTGTGTCCCTATTATTACACTTATTAAAGTCTGTTTATCTTATTTGCCAGCTAGGTTTGCATGATTAGCATATAACATTTCTGTGTGGACCGACTGTGTTATATAGGTGCCTAGTACATAGTGGATAATCAGTAAATAAGAGCTGTCTCCTTTAACAATTCAGCTACCATCACCAGGGCATAGCCCAGCTCTAAGTCTTAGGTCTAGGAAAGAAACCATAGTAGTTTCCTTAAGAGCAGCACATTAAATTATCAGGTTATTAAAAACTGAGTATTTTCTCATGTTCTCTGGGAATAAAAGTCAAGTTTGAATGAGAACTAGAAATTTGTGAAGTTACATTCAAAAATTAGGTTTGCACGGTTGCAGAGCACATAGCAGGAGGGATGAGAAACAGCACTAGAGCCAGGGTACAGAGGTAGAGGTTGATTAATCTCATCTGATTTGAACGGAACCATCAGTAGAGGTAGTGATATGAGGTTCAGCTGTCAATGCCTTCTGAAAGTTTTAGGCTGCTGAAAGCAGAGCATCTGATACCTTCTTGACTTGTCCTAAAAGTATCTTCCCCTCTCTGAAAGCAGAGGAAGCAGCAAGGGAGTTGGCTTAAGTGTGAACTCAATTCCAAGCCTTTGGAAGGAACTAATTCATGGTTTAGAAGGGAAGGAAAAGTTAGAGAAGTCAAGGAAGCTAATTAGCATCAAAGGAACACTAGGAAGAAGAGTAGTTAGCTACATATACCCTACTTAGTCTTCAAGAACTAAGATATCAAGATGCTCACTGAAAAAGCAATTATGAAGTCATGGACAGACTCTCTGAAAGGGAACACAGTGCACAATGGATCA